TAAGATGTAGGAAACACTTTTGCAATCAAATTCATCAGTGCGGTGTCTCGATCTGTGGCAATTACCTTTGGTATATTTTCTTGGTTCTTCAATAAGGTCTTGCATATTTCAAAGGCCAATGTAACGTTGACCGCTTTTTCAGATTCTAAAAATGCAAATCCCACTGAAAAATTCTTCTTCGTAGAAGTAATACCAATAATTTCCAGAAACGAAAGCCTATACTTATTGGTCCTATACGTTGATAAATTATGAGGACAATGAGAAATGTGTTGAACAGTTTGATACTTTTGGGATGAGTCCAAAATATGTCATGAATAATAACTTTATCCTCATAAACTCTGTACTTAGAAACATAGTGGTTATCATCCAAAAGATTCAAAAATTATTGCATTTCATATCTTAGACCTTTTATTGCCATATTGTTTCAATAACACACATTGTATTTTCAAGTCCTTTCTGTTTCAAATTAGTAAGTATGTTTTTCAACGCCACCCTAATTAAAGACATGTCTGAAATTATTTTCTTCTCCTCCAGTTTAAGGCGACATACGATGGAATGACCGACTAGCTCGATTTGCAAGGTATAATTATTTAAACCCTAAATCACATTAAATTTCCATGTACCATCCATCTTACGGTATCCGCCAAATTTAAATACACTCACATTTTCTCGATCATGTATCATCACATTTCAACTTCCGAATCGGTGGAGCGTACATTCTAATTCTCTCACATCTCACGGTTACAAATACTTGCCTTCTATTAGAACTATTGTCCAACCTTCTGATTACAATTCCAAACCTCAATCTCTTGGCCTAAATGCGAACCCATTCAAACATATGTTCACGAGTAGTAAACATTTGTTCATTTGTAAATTATTGACCAACATCTATCTCCATATTTAGCGGTCTAGCACACGGTTTAACATCATCCTTCGCCTCATTAGGTTTAACATCATCATTCGCTTCATCTGACTTTACATCATCTTCCGGTTCATCCGATTTTACATCATTACTTACAGTAACTTTGAAAAATATATTCAGGTGTATTATATCTAATACAAACCAAAACAGAAAAATAATTTAAAAAAATCTTAGTAACAAGCAAATTTGGAGATGCATCGTCGAAAATGTCACTGAATGGTTAAATGTTAAACCATCTCAATGAATAACGTTAAGTTAATGAGTTCCAGAGGGTTTTCGAAGATGCATCTTCGAATTCACTCTAAAAATATTTGGAGATACATCTCCGGACTAAATTTTGACAAATAATTAGGTGACTGTTTAATTTATGAAGGATGAAGAGATTAAAAATGCATTCGAAGATACATTTTAAATTCATAAAGACCATTTTAAATGCATCTCTGAAAACTCATAAAGACTATTTTGAATTTTCCGAGATGTAAGATACAATATAAAAATTAAAAAAAAAACTATACTTTGGTAAATACGTCTTTAAGCGGATAATTGGATATATTCGTTATTGAACGTACAATCGGCCCATAACTATTAGTATAAAGTTATACATGACACTGTATAAACAAATTAAAAATAAAATGTGAAATACTTTTTAGTGATTAAACATGTTAAAATATATATTTTAAATATATTAATTTATCATCTTTTATTTTTTAGAATTTAATTTATATGTACCAGTTAAACGATATTTTATATTATTAATTAATAACAATTGTTTAATTTTAAAAATATTGGATTTTGAGAAAAGAAAATATGTACGTCTAATAAATAATAGTAACGTGTATTTTGTCCATTCTGTCGCCTTTGCAAACGCTAGACATTTTAGCGCCAAATAAACCGAGCGTAATCCGTCTCTAATCTCATGAATCACATAAAACCATGCACGAGGAAAACCAACGCGTTCAACAACCTTATCACACTAACTGCTCCAAAACCTCACATTCACGTCGACGCTTCCATCATCAAGACAGGCTTCGATCCCAACACATGCCGTTCCAATTTCCTTCTCAAAACTTTCCTCCAACGCGGGGATTTGATTTCCGCCCGCAAACTGTTCGATGAAATGCCTCACAAGAACATATTCTCCACCAATACCATGATCATGGGTTACATCAAATCTGGCAATCTTTCTAAAGCCAGAACCTTGTTTGATAACATGTCTGAACGGACTGCTGTTACATGGACAATGTTGATTGGTGGCTATGCTCAAGATAATAGATTCCGTGATGCTTTTAGCCTTTTCGCTGAGATGGGTAGGCACCGGATCGACCCGGATCATGTATGTTTGGCTACTCTGTTATCCGGGTTCACTGAGTTTGATTCTGTTAATGAAGTGAGACAAGTTCATACCCATGTTATCAAATTGGGCTATGATTCGACGCTTGTGGTTTCTAACTCGTTACTCGACTCTTACTGTAAGACTCGTAGCCTTGGATTAGCTTGTCAGCTTTTCAATGATATACCTGAGAGAGATTCTGTGACTTTTAATGCCTTGTTGACGGGCTACTCGAAAGAAGGGTTCAATTATGAAGCTATAAACCTGTTTTTCAAGATGCAGGAATTGGGGTATAGGCCGTCAGAGTTTACTTTTGCTGCGATTTTAACCGCGGGTATACATTTGGATGATATAGAATTTGGGAAACAAGTTCATGGTTTTGTGGTGAAGTGTAACTTTGTGTGGAATGTGTTTGTGGCTAATGCTTTGCTTGATTTTTACTCGAAGCATGACCGGGTTGTTGAAGCAAGGAACCTTTTTTATGAGATGCCGGAGGTGGATGGTATCTCATACAATGTGCTTGTCACGTGTTATGCGTGGAGTGGAAGAGTGGAAGAATCTCTTGAACTGTTCAGGGAATTGCAATTCACTGGATTTGACAGGAGACAGTTCCCATATTCTACCTTGTTGAGCATAGCTGCAATTTCTTTAAACCTAGATATGGGTAGACATATTCATTCCCAGACTATTGTAACGGATGCGATTTCAGAAGTTCTCGTAGGTAATTCATTGGTTGATATGTATGCTAAATGTGGCAAATTTGGGGAAGCAAATAGGATTTTTACAGATCTGGCTCATCAAAGTTCTGTTCCATGGACAGCCATGATATCGGCTTATGTCCAGAAAGGACTTCATGAAGACGGTCTAAAGCTATTCATTGAGATGCAAAGAGCCCAAATAAGTGCTGACGCAGCTACTTATGCCAGTACCGTCAGAGCATGTGCAAGTTTAGCCTCATTGACACTGGGAAAGCAGTTGCACTCTCATATAATCGGATCGGGATACATTTCAAATGTATTTTCTGGGAGTGCACTACTTGACATGTATGCAAAATGTGGATCCATAAAAGATGCACTTCAAATGTTTCAGGAGATGCCTGTAAGAAATTCAGTCTCCTGGAATGCACTTATTTCAGCTTATGCACAAAATGGAGACGGAGACCGCACGCTTAGATTGTTTGAAGAAATGCTTCATTCAGGTTTGCAGCCAGATTCTGTTAGTCTCCTTAGTATTCTATGTGCTTGCAGTCACTGTGGTTTAGTTGAAGAAGGGTTACAGTACTTCAACTCCATGACTGAGATTTATAAACTTGTTCCCAAGAAAGAGCATTATGCATCGATCATTGATATGTTATGTCGCGGAGGAAGATTTGACGAGGCGATGAAATTGATGGTTCAGATGCCTTTTGAACCTGATGAAATAATATGGTCATCCATTCTCAACTCATGTAGAATCCATAAAAATCAGGAGTTGGCAAAGAATGCAGCAGAGCAACTTTTCAATATGAAGGTACTTAGAGATGCTGCTCCATATGTTAGCATGTCCAATATATATGCAGAAGCTGGTGAATGGGACAATGTAGGGAAGGTGAAGAAGGCTATGAGAGAAAGAGGAGTGAAAAAAGTCCCTGCTTATAGTTGGGTTGAAATCAAACACAAAACTCATGTATTCACTGCCAATGATAAGTCACATCCCCAGATGAGAGAGATAATGAGGAAGCTTGATGAGTTGGAAGAGGAAATGGGGAAACAAGGGTATAAACCAGACTCAAGTTGTGCCCTTCACAATGTGGATGAGGACGTGAAAATAGAGTCTCTTAAATATCACAGTGAACGCATTGCCATTGCCTTTGCACTAATTAGCACCCCAAAAGGGTCACCTATATTAGTGATGAAGAACCTGAGAGCTTGTACTGATTGTCATGCCGCCATAAAGGTCATCTCCAAGATCGTTGGTCGAGAAGTCACGGTTAGGGATTCAAGCAGGTTCCATCATTTCAGGGATGGGGTTTGCTCCTGTAGAGACTACTGGTAGGCTAGCTTTGTACCATCCAGAAAGCCATCAATTTTCCTAGAAAAAAAAAAGGTAAAACCTTATAAAGGATCTAGTAGTGTGAAGAACTGAGCTGAGCTACGGATTGAAAACTGGCAAATAGGGGGCTTGAACTTAGTGCAGATATTATTGACCCCTTCACATTGGTCCTTAAATCCTTAAGGCACCAACAGCACTTGGGTATGTACTTTTGTCTCCTAACCCCTCTTCTTTGATTCAGTTTTCAATCAATAACTAGATACTGGTTTTTTATTGAATCAATTATTACAGTACCATCAGCAGTTTAAAAAAAAAAAAGCTTTTGAAGTATACATGATGTGTGTGAGGCAAAATAAAGCTTTTATATTTTAATTTTACCCTGCTTAAGCTCTGTGTTTCAGGATGAATATGTACTGAATACTGATATGTTATGATGTCCGTAACATGACCACAGTATTGACAAGAGAGTATCACTCATCCTGGTGGCTGGTTAGATTATACTCCACTAAGGATAGAACAATTGTATGGATCTCAACACCTGACTTCTCCTGTTTGTGTCAATTGCATTAGCTGTGGGCATTTCATTATGAAGCAAGTGCAACTTAATAGACTATAACCTTAAAAAAAAACTTTCATCCAAGGCAGTTTTGTTCTTGTGCTGTTGTTTTAAATTCTGGGACCTTCAGAAGACAGAATCTGGGAAAGAAATTAATAGTCATGATGCTATTTTTCAAGACAAGGTGAGCCCTTTTAATGAGGTAAATCTTTATTAGATATCAACATTAAAATAATTTTTTGTTCTAAAATTTGGCTATCTGTTGAATTGATATCCAATTACTTTAATGACGTACTGATTTCCTGCTAATGCAAGCTCCAACTTGATCTCTTTTCCTTCTGAACAAGATGCAAGTGAATTGATGTAGAGCACAGTGGATCGACCTGACCTAGTTTGAAATTTTATTGCAAAAGCTTACTTTGTTTCTTTGAATCGTGTAGAAATATGTCAAATCCGTTGGGCTTAAGAGGGACTTACGTTTAGTTGTAAAAGTTGATGCTTGCAACATGGTTCATATTCTATATGGGTCTGCGAAGTTACTATATATGTAATATTTAACCAAAAATGTCTAACTTTATTGATAACCAGCTCCTCATGAAATTCTGGATCACATTAGTTATGTCGAGATTCTTATGTTCACCTTCCCCATCATTTACTATTAGTTGCTCTATGAAGTATAACCTAAATCTATGAATTGTTATGTCTGGTTTTCATGTCCTACAGAGGTTTCGTAAAATATAATTATAATATTCTTGACTTAAATTCAGCACGGTCAAAAGTCTCTATTGTTGTTGTCAAACTTGCAAGCTAATTTGTTCTCGTAGAATCATGACTAACGAGTTTATAACCGTAGGTAAGACAATTTAATGTACTCACTTACAACTTACAAACTCATTTCTTCAGGCTCTGGTTGACTGAGGAAAAACAGGCACACTCGCACAAAATTGTGAGTCTAGTGAAGTGAACCGAAGCCGCCCTGATCTGGCATTAATGCCAAGGAGATACCCTTTTCTCTACCAGAAGTACCAGAGAGCTCAGCTAGCAAAGGAAATCAGTCCACAAGATGGCAATGACAATCCAATTGGGAGATTTTGTTTTGGTCAAACAAATTGCTCTCAAAGAAAATGTACAAGTTCGTCGTTGACGAGCATATTATTCTCAAAGTCACGAAGCAAAGACGATAAGAATAATATGCTTGACCAACGGGGGCATCAAATGCCGCATCAGACATATATCAGCTAATAAGAGATGATAATATGGGGAATAAAACAACAAGGATGCCTATTTACAGACAAAAAGCAACTTCAAGCCAAATTGAAAATAACAATATCACGTGACAACGTTGCACTGACTGGCAGTCAAACTCACCGGTCAATTGAAGTGTATTTTCGATTGTAGAATCCAAATGTATTTTTTTATGACAACACTACACTGATTGGTGATCAAATTTACAGGTCACATCAACCAACTAAAGCATACTTCGGATCGTAGAATTTATATGTATTTTGCACATGCGGAGTTTGGACTTTGTAACATACCAGTAACAGAAGATAACAAAATTTATTCAGCTTTCAATTCGAATTCTAGAATCCGGATACTTCAAAATCACTCTCTTCAAGAATCTGGATCTTAGAATTTGAAGGATATTTTTGAATGAATCTAGTTTGGGAGTTCTTTCAGGAATATGGTTTTTTAATCATCCTATTCTGAAAAATTATTAAATCTCAATCCTTTTGATTAGAGCAGCCTCAAGATAAAAAAAAACCTTTAAATACTTTTTGTGAGTTACAGTGCAGGATGTCACAAATTGTTGGATTGCTTTACATTATACTTTAAGTTAATCTCATTCTACTTAAAACATTTAAACATTTTTCAAAGAACTTGAAAGAAATTATTTGTTGCAGGAAGTTGCTACAGAGTAGTCCGGTCGTCCATTTTCTATTGATTGCAACAGTGATTGAGAAATGCTCTCAAATATAAGAATATAAAAAAATCAACATGTACTATATTGAAAAAGTCAAGAGTCGCACAATTATGTTGCGAGTCAGGACAAACAATCTCACAAAAACAAAAAGGCAACCTTATCTTGAACATCAAAATATCTTATCCATTATAGTTAGAGTTACAGATGTCATATTCCTATTCTATAAATTGGATCCAAACATCCTCAAAACGTTACTAGTAATTAAACTCCAAATTTCACAAAACACACTCCAAAATGCAGACATCTTTAACCTTTGCAGCCACCACCACCGTTGTGCCTCTGACAACACCAAAGAGTGTCTCACATCTTACCACTTTCCCTACCAAATTCACTGCCTCACGTGCTTCTCCACCTCGTTACACTGCAATCAGAGTTGCTTCCGGGAACTCTGACCCTTCAACAGTCAACTACAACTCAGCATTCTCGTAAGATTTCATTCTTAATCACCTTCATTTTAATTTTTAGTTCAGGCTTTTCTAGGCTTTGTTTGTTCATGCTTGAAACGGTTGCCATAATATTTGTTGTGTTATTCTCAGTGTGTTTCCAGCTGAGGCATGTGAAACGGTTGGAGGGGAAGCTTGTTTGGCAGACATGTATCCTGAAGTGAAGCTTCAGCCAGAGGCAAGTAATGACACAAAAAAAGCTGTAGCTTCAGAGAACATTGAAAGAGACTATCTTGAATACAATGACCCTAAGACGTAAGATTTAATTGCTATTGATTGAATATGTAGTTGAAATATCAAACCAGAATATTAAATGGATGATGTGTTTTTCAGGGTTTTCCAAGCAGAGGCTTGTGATGATCTTGGAGGAACTTTCTGTGAACCTGATTATCAGAAGGGTGTTTACTAGAAGAAATGAAAAACCACTTTTATTGCCATGGATATTTCATACTTCCTTGTCTATGTGTAATTGTAGTATTGATTGTAGATATATGTATAATAAGTTGTGTTATTTAAATATCAAAGGTATGCAACATTGTATGTGTTGGTTATATCTCAATTTTTATCATCTTCTATAATTCACACATTTAAAAATACAAACAAAATCCAATGTATACACATCAATTATATTTTCAATTATACTTTGTTGAAAAGATCAGTCTGCAAGCATCTCTCTTCTTTCCCCAAGTGTCTCTCGTAGGCAGAGAACCTCTTCTTTCCCCACGTGTCTCTCGTCACAGAAGGCCGAGAACCTCTTATTTCCCGGTAGCAGTACTAACACAGTCGTGTTGTCGGTGGTGCTTCCAATATATATTACGCAAACAACACTCATTCCCAAATATGTTTGCAATCAAGAAAGTTTTCTTTGGCGTATTGGATATAGGTGCAGTTCAAAGTACAAGTGAGGGATTGAGCTGATCCCAAGTCTTGGAAACATTTGTTGAAGGGAATACATTGGGAAAGGTAATATAATTCACCTAAAGACAGTTGTGTGGTTGTCCTCTGCTGTTGTAGCAATGCAAAATATTGATCAATCTATAATGCAGTAGATAGTATCTCAATTCTTGATGGGAATGGTAATTGGATTTTAAACAGAATGAGACATTTAATCTCTGTTGAGTACCTCGATCAGCACCATTTCGATTACACCTCTGGCAGGGACAGAGCACAAACAATAGCTGCATACTGGTTTAATCATCAAACAATAGTTCAAGACTATTGTATGGCCAATAACCCAATGAAGAAGAATATGAAAATGGAGTAAAATATGGCAGGTTTGAGACCCTATAATGTATATGTAATTCGTATTTTTGTTGCAGCATACCATATAATTCATTTTGATTATAAGACCAAATGATAATTCAGTCCAAATCAATCGGGCATCACATCACAACCAACCCACCCATCTGTTAGCTACTTTGTAAAGTTTCTATACCCATACTGCTAAAATGTTGCATAGCATTGCACCTAAACATCCTCCATCATGTATCTAATAAGCTCAACCCATATACAGTCTGTCATTAGTAAATTACATATCATATTCTGAATTCATGTTATTTAATTCTATTCCAACATGAACCGCATCAAACATGTAGTTCTTTCTTTGATTATATAAAAGAGTAAACCTAATGATTAAAACAAAACAAAAGCATAAAACCAACAAGACTATATAGTAATCTATAATGCCAATCAAAGCATATAAGCAACAAAGCAGAAAAATCTTGCTTCAATATCCCAAAATTCTCCATCAGAACAAACAAAATGCAAGAAATAAAACTCAATTACAATAAAAATAAAGAATCTAACATGATTCTATTTCTTGACTGAATCATCCGGAACCATCCTAAGTTGTTTCCTCTGCTTGGACTTGGCAATCTTCTTCAGAGTCTTGGGGTTGGTAATCTTCTGAAGCTTAGTCCCCGTCCTAAGAATATTCTCTTTCTTCTTCTTCTCCCTCTCTTCCTTCTTCTTCCTCTTCTCAACCTTATTCAACCTAATCTCCTCTTTCAACTCCGTCATCCTCTCCTTAAACGCCGCCTTAATACTCTTGGCTCTCGCCCTCTCCTCAAACGTCGTCCCCTTCTTACTAACCTGCATCGCCGACGACCTCCTCTGCCGCACCTGCTTCCAGTTTCTGCCGGAGACTCTCCCGGCAATCACTCCATCGTAGGTAGGTTTACCAAACGAAAACGATGAAAAGGAAGGTTTGTTGGGATCTGATTCCGATGGGACCGCGGATCTCTTCGCAGGAGGAGGGGCGGTGTCGTCGGTCTCCATCTCCATGGCGTGGATTTCTTCCATCTTTGCGTCCTCGACTGCTTGAGCCTGTTCACGTTTGCGCTTGTATGTTTTGCCGCCAAAGCCTTCGTCGAGGTGGCGGAAATCGATAGTGGAAGCCATTGTTGGTATCAGAGGTGTGGGGAGTGATACAAAACCCTAATCAAATGTTTAGGTTCTATTTATACTATGGATAATAATACTACTTAATCTTACGAAACCCACGAGTGGACTGTTAAAATTGTCTTTTGTTTTATTAATTAAAAATAATATAATTAAATGTATTTTCGATCTCTATAATATTAACAATTTTTAGAATTTTTAGTCTTCATTAGTATGCCAAAGTCACAATCACGTCTTTGACACATTCACTCCAATCCAGCGTTAATTAACAAGTTATTTAATTAAAATTTAAAATTCATATTCTAGTATAAAATTAGGTGTGATAAAATGAGAAATAATCGGTTAGTCTGATTAGCTCATTCATTATAAAATAGTGAGTTGGATTAAGATTTCGGATCCGTCACATGTCAAAGTTTGCTCCGTCAGGACCGTTGTCAGTCAAAGCCCGCTCTGTCGCCTACCTAACCTATCACGCATCTTCGTTCAACTTGTCACATCTTAAGCTCATCCATTTTTAGTTAATTATAGTACTTTTTATGGTTTTATTATATATTTTTTTATGAATATATGTAATATTTTTTAAGTGAAATTTGTTTAAAAGATATTTTATAAAAAATTAAGTGAAAAATCTAATTGAAATATTAAAAAAAATCTATTAATCTATTAAAAAAATGAATACATAAATAAATAAATACGCATGCAAACCCGCCGCTCGCCAACCCGCCACTCGCCGACCCGCCATCTTGGTGGAGCAAGCTAGATTTTTATGTCTATTTCAATTTGGCGTGCTTGCCCATCCCGTTCTTTTTTTGGCGAGTTTAAGGCAGAATGGGGCAGACAATCCATTTTGCCACTCCTATATAAAAATATTTAAAGATAAAGAACTATGTTTATAATTTTTTTCTTTCTTCATTGTGATTCATATTCTTCTTCATTTCCTTCGTCTAAACCCTAGATACTAAATTCATATCCTTATTCATTATTTTAGATTAATAGTTAGAACTAGTAAGAAGCTTGTGCTCCCCTGCACGGGTAATTTGATTATGAATTTGTTTGTCATACAAAAAAAAAAGGTTTTGGATTGAGATGTGGTGCCAACCTCTCTTGTGGTCCTGAAACATTATTCTCATTGGTGCTTCCGACTCTTCCGGACTCCCCAATAGTGGTATCAGAGCCGTGGTTCGGCTTGGTGAGGAGTGGAAGCTGAGTTTGGTGTTGGATCTTGTTGTAGGATGTGGAAACTCACACTTGTGAGGGAGAATGTTGAGTACAGGTGTGAATAGTTAAAGTCCCACATTGTCTATGAATGGGTGAAATGTTGGATTTATAAGATAGATGATCCATTTACCTAACACCTTAAAATTTTGGATTGAGATGTGGTGTCTCCCTCTCTTGTGGTCCTGGAGCATTATTCTCATTAGTGCTTCCGACTCTCCCGGACTCTCCAACATATTGGAGAATCTTCAAAGAATAGTCATTTAAAAAATGACAAGAAAATATCTGATAATGTCATAACACATCAATGAATATTAATGTCGTCTTCAAATAATAATCATGTAATAAAAAATGACAAACAATTTATTAAAGTCATAACACATGAATGGGTGTTAATGTCACAACACTAAGATAGTAGCAAACAAAGAAATAAAATATAAGATGTGTTACAAAGAATTATGAATTGTATAGAATTGTAACATCAATCTTAAAAATGTAGTCAAAAGTTGAACTTGAAAAAGAAAGAAAAATATATCGGTTTGTTATAAAATACAAAAATGCAATAGATATTTTGCATGGAATGATAAAGTAGATATAATAAAAACACACCTATTAAATATTTTGGAACACTTCCTTAAATACAACAATAGTGATAGTACTCATTGCTTGTTTATCTTTGTAATGAATAAGAATCTTAAGACCCTTTTTGGATTTAACTCTAAAGATAGCCACATACAATTGACCATAAAAACTTCTTTTAGTAAATATAAGCCAACATTGTCTAGAGATTGCCCTTGAGATTTATTAATTGTCATGTCAAATAAATCAATTATTGGAAATTGGCGTCTCACCAATTTAAATGGCCATGGTGATTGGGATGGAGACAAAGACATTCTAGGAATATAAATGATGTTACCAATATTTTTCCAAGAAATAATCTTTGCTTCAATGACATGATTAGCAAGCCTTGTCACACTGAGTCGTGTACCATTGCACAAGCCTTCAGACTGATCTAGGTTATGCATAAGTATTATAGTGGCCCTAAATTTAAACTTGATTGGATGATTAGGCAATCCAAAAGTTTTAAGAGCATTTAGAAACTCAGGTGTGACATGCTCATATGCACCAAAGTTAATAGCATTAGATTTATCTATAGAATCACTACCAAAGTATTCTTTCTCTTCTCCTACAACAATTGTAAATATACTTAATAAGAAAAAAATTATAATATAAGGTATTTACTATTAACATAATTAAGTAAGAATAAATGCGAGTTGAATACCTGGAAGAAGGTTTGTGATATATTGATTAATATCATCTACTACTTCAATTGTTGAAGCTAAAATTTTACGACTTTGAAGACAGGTGGAATCAAGATAATTATGAGTGAGATCAGGGTATGTATCCTCTACAATTGCCTTAATAGGATCTGAAAAATATGAAATTAAAAACTCATCTGGAATAACAATATCAGCATAACCATTATTTGGCTCACACATGGTCTCATCTCCAATTTGTAAAATCCACTCAAAAAAATCCCCTAATTTCTTCTGTTGTAGAAGTAGGTGCACCACTTTGCAAGTGCATATTCTTTGTAAGCTTTATGACTCTACAATGATCCCAAATATAAGAAGCATTGATGGTTGCATGGATAATATCAGATCTAGTACCTCTTAGTATAACGGGGAGAATTTGCCTAAAGTCACCACCAAACACAACAACCTTACCTCCAAATATTTTATCATAACCATGTGTAGTTCTAATCATAATATCTTTTAAGGATTTGTCAAGAGACTCAAAGCAAAACCTCTTAGACATATGAGTCTCGTCCCATATGATTAGATATGTCATCTTTAGAAGCTCAACAAGATCATCTTTTTTATTAATGTTGTAAATAGAAGTTTCTAAAGTAAGGGCTAGAATCTTAAATCTAGAATGAGTTGTTCTTCCACCTGGTAACAACAAACCTGCAATCTCACTTGAGGCAACATGCAGGACAATTTTTTTCTTAGACCTAAGTGTCGCTGATAAAGTGTTCCACATAAAAGTCTTACCAGTTCCACCGTAGCCATATAAAAAAAACACCCCACCTCTTTGCTTTTCTACTGCATCCATGACCCTCTTAAAAAATGCTTCTTTGCTCATCTACAAATAACAGAAGCTAAACAAAATTGTTAGTATGATGATAATGAATAAATTTGTAAACAAATGTAAAATCAAAGTCATTTTACCTGTAAGAGAAGAGCATAAATTTTAAAAAAGTTATTGTTGACCAACCAGATCATATTGACACTCACCATAAATTAGCATATTTCCTATAAAGGAGACAACATAATCTTTTGTATATGGCATTGGCTTTTAGTTCTTCAAACTTATATTGTTATTTTGTAACAGTGTCTCAATAGCCATAAGCGTCGGTTATTTTAGATCCTCATTAAGAAGTGTCAAATCTAAGATACAAAATATTTAAATGTAAGGTTAGAGATCTTTGTATTTGAACAAAAGGAATAGAAAATGTAAAGACAAAAAAATTTATACATTTATTTCTTGCCAATAATTGTTATTCATAAAAAATTCCATCAGATAAATACTTCTAAGTTTAACTCCAAACATGTCCGGGTCTATTCATGGATGAGGATAACAACATAGTAACAAATAACTTACGTAAAGCATCATTTCAACAGAAGATTGAGATATCACAATAATATAAGAGAATGTATAATGATAAGTATACAGAGAATATAATCATGCATAATCATACATTTCACATCTCAAACATTTACACCATCAATAATAACCATATTACATATGGCTTATACAATCACACATAATCATCCACACATATCAAACATCATCATGTAGCATATACACCAATCACACAACTCAAACATTACGTTAATAAAAATGCAATACAATGAGACTGACTCACATACTCAATGCATGTGGTACCAACATCGCTCCCGAATCCGCGCCAGCTAGGACCAGAGCCACCAATATCATGAACAATTTGGTTCACATCACTCTTGGTTCACGTCATCTAGGATCAGAGCGAATCAACATCATGAACAATGAGGTTCATATCGCACCCGATCTACGCCATCTAGGATCAGAGCCAATAAACAGGACTAAGGTCCATAACATGAAATACATACGACATAACCATGCAATAAAATACAACACATTGATATCTACATCCATCAATGTGACACACCATTAAGGCCACTTGTTGTCCATACATAAAACATACAAATAATACAGCCCCAACAACATCATACAACATCATCACACATAATTCCATGCACATATCTCAACATAACGACAAAATTGCACACATAAGGGAATAAGCCGCCAACAAATAATCACCATTGTGTTTGAAAGTATTTTTATATGGTAGAAAAGCGTTCACCCCCTGGTGTTACATATCAGAGCAATGACGCCAACTCGAATAAAATGAAGAGAAATCTCTTCCAAACTTTACAGCCTCGGACTACTCCCGACTATCTGCAGGATGCCGTATAAAGTATCATTCCAACAAAAGGGTGAGATATCACAACAATATAAGAGAATATATAATAATAAGTATACATAGAATATAATCATGCATAGTCATACATTCCACATCTCACACATTTACACCATCAAAAACAACCAGATTACATATGGCTTATACAATCACACATAATCATCCACACATATCAACCATCATCATGTAGTATATACACCAATCACACAACTCAAACATCACGTTAACAAAAATACAATACAATGAGACTGACTCACAAACT